TTATAATATTAATAAATCAATCTCTCAATTAAAAAAAACTTTTAAATTGGTTTTAAGATACAAAATCAAACTGGAAAAAAAATTATCTCTCAAAACCTAATTTATTTTTTCCAACAAGATAAAAATATAAAAATATTTTTATAAAAATTTTCTCAGAAATTTATTAACATTAAAATTTATTATTTTTAATATTGGAATGTGATCAATCCACAACTTTTTTTCTTTTTTGTTTTTTTAACAAATTTTTCTTTTTTATCTATAGCACAATGAGTAAGAAAATAAACATAATGAATTTTTGGATCAAAATTAGAATTTTAAAAATATAAAAAAACTGAATTAGGGGAAAAGAAAAAATAAATTAACTGAAAAGTATTTTTTTTATGAATTTAAGATTTGACACATATTTTATCTATATTTTACAATGTGATTCTTTTTCCTTTTGTTTTAGCTATCTACCACAATTTAAAATTTTGTTTCGCAAATTCTGGTCTCAAAAAGTTTTAATTAAAATTTAAAGATGAAAATAGAAAAAAAGAAAAAGAAAAGAAAGAACGTTTCATATGAGTACGGTCCCCATCCCTTTTTTAAAATATATTTATTAACTCTAGCTCATAGTTAATTTCATGCAATCACACCAAAATCTTGATATTGAAGCGGAAAGGCAATGGAGAAGACAGGCACGACTTCTTCTCCCACTTGTGGATAAAAAGACTGGACAAAAAGATATTTATACGAGTGGTTTTTTTTTTAAATAATAATAATTACTGTTCCTAGATATATTTTCAAGTTTCGAGATATTAATTAACCGCTATACTCGTAGTATCTACATTCTCTCTCCTCCCCCCATAATTTTTGGGAGGACTAGCCTCAAAATATGTTCGGAGTGTAATTTTTATTATTTTTTAAAATATTTTTTATTTAAAAATATATTAAAATAATATTTTTTATTTTTTAAAAATTATTTTTAATATTAATGCATCAAAATGATCTAAAAATATAAAAAAATATAAATTTCAAGTAAAAAAATTAAAAATTTTAATTTTTTAAAAATATTTTTAAAACATAAAAATAAACAAGGGTTAAACTAAATTTAAATATATAAACACAATGTATTTTCAAGTTCCAAGATATTATAAAGTGGTGTAAGGCATATTACATGTACAAAAAGTTTTCTATATTTTATTGATAGATTCTCTATAAGTCTAAATTTGATGACACATTTTATACCATATTCTATCCAAAATAAATGTTTTTTTTCTCTAGTTGATGGTTATATCTTACTAGCATGACATTAATAATAATTAAATTCTTCACCAATAATAGAGCAATCATTATAAGCAATGATGGCTCGTAATATTTTCATACAATCAAGGTTTATAAATATTATGAATTACTAAGACTTAATAATTTTTGGTGTTCTTCAATTTATCCTTATCTAATATTTTTTCTATTTTCTCTTGTGTACTAATTGACTTATTGTATTAAATATTAATTTGCAATATTATTCTAAAATAAATAATATTTTACTTTTATTTCTTTAATTAGGATAATGTAGATTACGTTTGGGAAAATAAAAATTAATTTTCATGATAGAATTAGACATTTAAAATAATTCATATTTTGAAGAATTATTTTTCATGAACTTAATTACATTTTAACAAACAAAGAGTTCAAAAACTATCTCAAGCCTCGATGGTACATGTTAGAAAACAAATTTCATACTATATGAATAATCCCACCAAGCGATTACAAGTTCTTACAACAACACGATGTTCAAATCCCTCCATTGCAAACCAAAAAGAAAAAACGAAGCAAATTAAAATGAAGAAATTGATTGTCAAATTGACATGTAAAGAGCCTAGAACCAATGCTAGCTAGAATGATTTTCAAGTGTGGGGCTACATCTTTTGTCAAGAATGACAGAAGATCCATATCTCTTTGATATCTAGATCAGTCTCTTGTAAAAAGAGGAGCGAAGTTGACATGAGAGGAGGAGAGATGGCCGGCCCTTACCTCCATTATCACGATTCCTTGAAGTTGACATGAGAGGAGGAGAGATGGCCAGCCCTTACCTCCATTATCACGATTCCTTCGGACGGTTCCTCGAGAGGCGTGTGCTCCTTTCATGCCTTAAGCGGGTCCCAGAAGCCCCACAATCGACCATGAGCCATGCTGATCTCCTCTCCAACCATTATTGGTGCACTTCTCCCCCGTCTATAAATAGCGCAGGCAGGGCTCGGAGACATAGCAATTCATACAAAGCTAAGCAAAGAACAACTTCGTATCCCAAGCCTTTAAGTTCATCCATTTGATTCATCAAGCAATCACCATGTCTAGCACCTGCGACAACTGCGACTGCGCTGACAAGACCCAGTGTGTGTAAGTGTTCGTCCCTTGCGAACTTGATTAAGCAGCTCTTGCTTGTTTATTGTTCTTCATTTATGTTGTGATTGTCCTAGCTACGTAGATTATAGTTGGTTCACATTCTTGCATGGCTTTCGTGCATATGTTTGTGAAGATTAATGTCATCTTTCACTAATCTATCAATTAATGGTCTTTTATTCTGTTCATCGAGTCTTGATGCTCATGGTCCATATATAACTGTGTATGCATAGTGCTCCTCTCTCACGCCACCCAATTTGTGATTATTTGGCAGCAAGAAGGGAAGCAGCTACACTGCTGACATCGTTGGGACTGAGAAGAGGTACGTTCTGCAATTCAAAATATCTGCACAAAAGATGAACACAGAAATAACCTCTTTGCCCTGAAGAGCTTGTAGTCTAATTAGCATGTTTAAGACTCAAGAATACTCACTAATAACAAAGATGGCTAAGACGAACACAGAAATAACCTCTTTGCCCTGAAGAGGTCGTAGTCTAATTAGCATGTTTAAAACTTAAGAATACTCGCTAATAACGAAGATGGCTAACATGGTGATACGATACTGATGTATGGAGGTCTCTTTTTTCTTTGCAGCCATGTTTCCACTGGAGTCATGGAGGTTCCAGCAACCGAGAACGATGGCAAGTGCAAGTGCGGCACTAACTGCACTTGCACTACCTGCACATGCGGTCATTAAGCACATAAACCGTCATGCGTGCGGCGTAGGGAGTCGACTAATAATGTAATTTGTGCCCTTCTGCTATAGTAATTGCGGAAGGGGAAAAAAAGGTGACAGTGAGTGTCTTATGCCTGTGTCTTCTTCTTCTTCTTCAATGTTATGTAAGGGCCATGTCTATGGCCTTATGTGTGTTTTAATGGAATATTATTGATATAGTATCTGCCTCGTCACAACTAGATAAGGGAAGTTTACTGTCTGAAGTTGTTTGGATCAGCTTTGTTGCGTCCCATCCTGATACGTTGCTTTTCAGCCATTGGATCCCCTTACGATAATTGATAAAACTTCAACAAAGATCAGTGAGTGCCAATAACCATCATGAGACAAGCTCAGAACAATATCCAGCATCATTTATTATGGAATATAAAGAAAGAAACATACATAAATTGAAGACTTCAATAGCAATTAAGGAAAGCGCACATCAGAGAAATATCTGAAAGAATTTTGGATTTTGAATGTTTAGAAGTGTAGTAGTTTTTTTAAAAATATTTTTAAGTGCCAATAACCATCATGAGACAAGCTCAGAACAATATCCAGCATCATTTATTATGGAATATAAAGAAAGAAACATACATAAATTGAAGACTTCAATAGCAATTAAGGAAAGCGCACATCAGAGAAATATCTGAAAGAATTTTGGATTTTGAATGTTTAGAAGTGTAGTAGTTTTTTTAAAAATATTTTTAATTTATTTGAAAATATATTTAAATGATTTTTTTTATTTTTAAAAAATTATTTTTGATATTAATATATAAAAACAATCAGAAAATATAAAAAAAAATTTATTTATAATAAATTAAAAATTAAAAAAATATATTTTTAAAACATAAAAAATAAATAGAATAAAAAACCTGTGCAAAGACAACATGGAGCATCGACAAAGAGATTACGCGAGCGCTCACAATATTATCAAGGTCTCATCCATGCATTTTGGCTATTTTCAATTGTTTAGTTCAGGTGAAAGAACAAGAATGATTGAACAGATGAAATGATCAAGATCAAGTTTGCTAATCTTTTCTAGCTTTATTCCTCACATGTCATATGAAATTCGAAAAACATGTGTTATTTGCTCCCAATTATATTGTTAGATTATCAAGTCAAGCATATGTAACAGTCCCCAGTGATGAAGCCATCCGAACGAGCTACAGGACTGATAATTTTAAATCATTTACCATGCAATTCATTCAGTTCTGTTCTTTCTGTGCCAACTAATGTGTAGACCAACTAGTGTTCTAAGTTCAAAGATTATTCTGCATAGTGATTAGGTTCACAGAAAACCTCACAAGTATCAAATTCTTTCTTAAATTGGTAGATAGACCAGAAAGTTGAGAATACAAAACAAGTCGTTTGTTTAGTAACAGAAGAAAAGAAGCTTAGAGAATGTATTGTTTGTGTTTATTGAGCTTGAAGAAGATGACCACTTAGAAGAGGATGAAGATTCACATTATTTACCTTAATCCATGCAAAGGTAGTGATTAATATGCTGGACTATTAGAGATACAGTTCTAGAGGAACAATGGACCACTGTAAAAGCTGTCCATGTTCTAGGTTTTGTGAACTATATATTATTGATGGGTCTAAAGTAACAATGGGCCCCTGCAAAAGCTGTTAAGATGATACAAGAAAGGAAGAAAAAAAAGGGGGAATCCGTCTCTGAACTGAATTACAATTGGTATAGGAAGCAATGAACGAAAAGTAATTACAAAAGATGAATTCGGAAAAGGATGTCAAGAACGTTAAACATGGAGAATCTGTTTTCGATATCAACAAAGAAGATTGAACTAGCTTGGCATGCAGAGATTAGCAGTTCCAAAAGATGATCTGAGACTCAACAGGAGAGGTTACCTTGATGCATTGTCGTACTTTGACATTCTAATCAACATTCTGAGCCATTACATCTCCTCTCGAAGAGATCACTTCAGGGGAGACGTGATGGCTCAGAAGAAACTGCGAGGATAATTCAGATTGTGATAAAGTTGATTAGAACATCTAACCTGGGCAATGCATCTCAGATAATAACCTTTCCCAGATCTTTTCAGCTCATCTTTGGCAACCGCTACCTGCAAGGATAACCATGTAAAGCAACCGCTACCTGCAAGGATAACCATGTACAAGTGAGGATAAGCTTGCATCAGCTCAATGTGAAAGCCTATAACTATCATCAGAAGTTCAGAGCAATATCTAACATCATAATGGAATTTAAAGAAGGAAACATGAATGGGAGAGTTGATGGCATGTGAGGAATCCCTTACACATAAAGAGAAACAACTTTTCTCTTCCTGTAAAATCACAGGTACAAACACGAATCAAATAACAGACAAAGAGAAGAGACAAACACAATATCAACCCCATCCAAGTATTCTAGTCATTTTCATTTGTCATTCTGTAAGGAAAAGAAATCATCATTCAAGAAGCTAGAAATGCTTGCAAAGTTTAAAAGGTCAAGAAAAGCTGTGTTTTCTAGCTTTATTCCTCACATTTGGTATGTGTAATTCTATATTCCAAAATGGTATCGATTTATGAACTAAACCGTATCTACCAAACTCAAATGTTAAAGCCCTCAGCACGAAGGCACTGTCGATGAGCATCGATCCATTTTGCACAAGCAGCTTCACCATGCTCCACAATGCATTCATCCCTTAGTTTCTTAGTTTCGGGGCAAGCACAGCAGATCTTCTTTGGCTTTGATTCTTGACCAGATGTTGTAATTAGTGACACCTGGCTTACAGCTGAGGAGGGGGAAGCATTTTGCAAAGGTAGCCCACTCATCACAAATCTGCAGAAAACACAAGTACTGTAAAGAAGGAAAGAGGGCATAGAGAAAGGAATGAAGAAAATCGATTTGAATTAGAGCATCAGCTTCTGGGAGAGAGGGAAGGCAGAGTGAAATTGGTGTGTGTGGCGGGGGGGAGGGGGTCGAAAATATCTGTTCAGATGGAGGGCAAATACTTCAAACATTATCAATTTTCTCCCTTTTTGCCAATTAATGTCTTTGCTGCCTGGGTTCTTTGTTCTGTATATTGTCTGATGAATCAACTCACTAAAACAATTCAGATTTTTTGTTCATATGTTCTATTGCATGGCTGATCTCCAACATATGAGATTTACTCATATCATAATTTGTTTTCCTGTATAAAAATCATTAATCATCCCTCTAATGCAGCTCGTGGCACATGTGATTCAGAATGATATCTGACTCCATCAAAGACTTTGAATCATTGCCCATACCATAAAGTTGCTTGCTAAGCCAGAAATTTAAACTCGATTAAGTACACGTACAAATCAACAAAATGAAAAGGCTATTTTTGCTCGTATTCCCATTTCCCCGCATAAAATTTGGCCACAAAACTCTCGGCATTCTATTCAGTTAAACTAATGAAACTAATTTAGAAACAGTCATGAGAAACAATGTACACAAAAGCTTAATAAAATCAACTCATGTATCAAGTATTGGACCAAATGTCTTTTATTTCTTATTGTATCAGCACTTTAATTGACCAGTTCGTGGGAAAGAGACCACCACTCTAAGAGATACCTCATTTCTTTATAAATCAAGGAAGCAACTTGACTCAACTAAGCTTCTCAATTACACAACTGAATAAAGCTGTATAACATGAATGCTTTGTAACGAATGGAACACAGACAGACACAGATACTAAATAGCCCAAAAGTTGAATGAAATCACTTCTAAGCTTCTCAATTACACAACTGAATAAAGTTGAATGAAATCACTTTCCTTGCAACTGTATCTGTTCGTGAACTTTTCATTACCATATTCTCATGTTACATAGCAGCTCTGTGCAATTTACTACAGAATTGTCAACAAGAATATCATTCTCCAACCAGTCACGACTAACTATCCACCACTTCCCAGATCAGTAACTTAATAAAAAGAAAGAAGATAATTCATTCGCCTCAAGTAAAAATCCAACCTTTTTCTCTTCAAATCCCTGCTTGATTATCCATTTAATTGCAGTGAATGATCCTGTGTGTTATGTTCTCAATTTCCAGACTTTGTAGAAAAATATAATATTTTCTTTGAAACTGAACCTACATACTGGAATTTTAACAAAAAAATACCCCCCAGGAAACAAAAATCAATTTATGGCACTACAAATTTGCAATCTCGACTCAAAATCAACTACAAGAGAAACCCATTTGAGCTATCCCTTTTACACAAAGTAATTAGAGTTAAAGAAAAAAAGAAAAATAAACAACAATTCTGTAAAGAAAAAAAAAACTGCCCAAATAATGAAAAAAAAAAAAAAAACAAAACAAAGCATCAAACCTCAAGAGACCATCCACAACTTAAGAGACAATACAGTGAAAGATGAACATACGGAAACACAGAGAGAGCTAAAGAGAAAAATAAGTTACCGTTAGAATTACTGCAGACAGAAGTGAAAGATTAAGATGCTGGGGGCTTTGTAGGGTTGATGTTGTCGATGAAAGCTAGAAAGTAGAAATTTCAAAGAGAAATAATGAGAGAGCGGGTCCTTCACTAAACTAGATGCTGTGGGGGTCGTGGGGCAGGCCTTCGTGGCCCAATAACAGCCATGACTTTCTATTCAAGGGAGAACAAAAATAATTTCATGTTGTTTTTCCATAGTAACTAAATTTAAAATTTGTTTTGTTTTTATTTAAAAAATAAAATGATAAATCGATTTTGTTTAGGAAAAAAATAATTTTAATTTTGATTAAGTGTGTGATTATTAATGGTTATTTTAAAAGTATTTTTTATTTTAAAATACATTAAAATAATTTCTTTTATTTTTTAAAATTTATTTTAAGTATAGTTTGATTTAAAAATATAAAAAAGTTAATTAAAAATAAAAATAAAATAAAATAAAAAATTATTAAAAAGTTTCATTAACAGCAAAAACAAATTGAATAAGATTGATTTACAAATTAGATTGAAGGTGGACAAGAAGCCAATATTGGAGCGCGCAAGTAACTTCTCGAGTTGCAGATTCTCAGTTGAAAACAACAGACAACCCCCAGATCCCATCTCCAACTTTTCTTGGAAACCAATCAAGAATTAAGAAAACAGTAATCAAGAATCCGATGCGGCCCTTGCCTCCATTTCTCTAAAGTTCCTTCCAGATTCAACCTGTAGCCAAGAAAAATGAAACCCCACTTGGTAGAACCCAGAAAGCTACACCAACACCAGCTCAAGTTTATTCAATGATGGACTATCTGACCGTTGTAGCTTCTTAATGATACTTCTCTCTCCATGAATACACAAGAAAGAAAACCCATCAAAGAGCCAGAGCAATATCACCAACAACTAGTCTAGGCAAATCATGAGCCAGATCTTCAAGCTTCTGCTCGAAGTAAACTCTCCAAAAGGCCACTGAAACATGAAGCGAGGTACAACCTTTAGCAAAGAAAATTTGGAACTCTCTGTCCTTGACAAATGCTACCATAAACAAGAGGAATCCAACAGCAAATAAAAGCAACCCAGAAAAGGATTCGGAGGTTTGGATCAAGAGTTGGCCATGTGACGTCGACCCTTTAAGCTTCGTTGCTACTTCAATGCCATGACCACACACGGTGACCTCATTTGTGAAAAACATCATTAAAGCTCCACAAGTTAGAGCTATCACAGAATGAAGCATGCATACTAGAAAGAACCCAGATGATCCCATTTAATCAAGTACGAAAGGAACGCCTTTCTCCTCCCATTTCTTTACCTCTATCTAGAAAAATGGCTCAGCACGACAAAATAAGGCCTTTGAACATAGCTCTCAGTGGAAACTACAAGAAAAGAGTAAAATGAACCCTATTGAAAGAGCCCTCAAACCTATTATTTTAAATGTGTGATCTCGAAGAAAGAAAATTGAATCAATGATCAAGAGTCAAAGCCCAGAATTTTAGTGCAAGCAAGACACCAAAAACCAAGATATACCCATTAATCAAGATAATATTTATGGCTGATTGTTTCATGTTTTCCAAACTTTCTTGTATATATTTATATTTTTCGTAAGAAGAGTTTTTTAATAAAAAAATATTAGAAGTGTTTTTTTATATTTTAAATGGAAAATATTTTTTAAAAATTGTAAAAAACATAAAAAAATTATTATTTATTAATTATATTAAAGTTTATCTTTGATATTTTGAATGCTATATTTTTTTTAGTTTTATCTCTAAAAATTTGATATAATTTGATTTTTAAATTAACTTTGATTTTATTGTTATTTGTTTTTTTTATCCATTTCTCAATTCAAATTTTTTTATTTATCATATTTGATTTTTATTTTTTTAATTGTATTTATTTTATTTAAAATAATTTATAAAATTATAATTTTTTTTTAATTTTATTATCTTTCAACTTTTTTATTTGTGAGACATGGTCTCTATTATTTTAATTATTATTTATTTTATTTTAAATAATTTATAAAATTAATTTTTTAATTTTTTCATCTATTAAATTTAATTCTTGTTTTTTCAATAAACTAGAAAAAAAAATATTAATAAACTTAATATTGGACAACTCATTTTACATGACAATACAAAATATCATAAAATAATTTACTCTTTTAAAAATTTATATTTTTAATATGTAATACTTTTCATCAAACAAATGAAACTAAATCTCCCCTGGTAATAAGAAAACAAATCTTGGATGAATGTATCAAACAAGAAAAACTGACATAAACCCCTATTTTAATCTTTAATATATTAAAATAATATTTTTTATTTTAAAAAACTTTTAAGATCAAAACAATATAAATAAATATATATATATATATTAATTTAAAATAAAAAATAAAAAATAAATCAATTTGTTTTAAAAATATTGTCAAACGCATTACATCTAATTTGCTTTGGCATGAAAGAAAAGCTCCGGAACTGCTATCTTGCTGATAGGCCTGCCGAGACACGTGCCAAAGAGTGGGTGTGTAAAAACAAGCTACGGCATAGGAAGGTACCCTCACTTTTGGAAAACCATCCGTAGGGTTGAAGGTTGAAGTAAAATCAATCCTTCTTCCATCCACAATTCCTGTAATACCTTCATGTGATAATCTGATGGAGAAATATGAGATTCAACATGTATGAGACAGAGAAGAAGTGCTTATTGACATCTTAGCGAAGAAGAGCAAGCCAAGGGACAGAATTATCGCCCCTACTCAAGGTGGCACTGCATTCGTGGAGGTGTAGAGTAGAAAAAGGAAATCTTCCGTTGATTTTAATGGACAAAGCACAAAGCCTTGCATCTGATATGAAGGAGAATTCGAAGGCAGAGTTTCTCAGGATACACAAGTGATGGCCAATATAAATTCGTGAGCCAGGAAATGAAAATCTAGATGACATTAAATGATTGCAGCTTCCAGGAGCTTATTTGATATCAAGTATTTACAACAATGAAAGAATGAGACATCAAAGTTTGAGTTGCTTCGTTCTGGGGCCATTCTAAATATTTCTAACCAAATCCATCATCCCTTGCTGTATGATGGGGGAAAACCTAAGTATACCTCTCCTATAAAAAGGCTTGTTTCTCCCTGATACCCGCAGCGGCCTTGCGGTGTTGCCTTGAACCAGATCTCCTATCTCTTCCACGCCTAGAATTTTTACCTGAGCTCCTCCCGGATGAGCTATCACGATGCAAAGGTAGGGGATGATGAATAGCAGGAGCAACCGGGGGTGGCATTTGGTCCAAAAGATCTTTGTGGTAAGCCTGCAAATCAAAAGAACAACGAAGCACTTAGCATAAAAAATAACCTTAAAACAATAGCATTTTCTTACAAGAAACTAAAAGGTAAGATTTAGCATAGTAAGGCAAAACTTAATTTTTAAATCGAAGTTCATTATCCATGTTAAAGATTTTTTTTCTTTGATAGGCGTCCTGCACATCAAGATTTAATGAGATAGTTCCTGCTTTTAGCATCATTTGGCCAAAGCACCATTCTCCTTCACTAACTGCACTCCCAGGATGGATTTTAGCCTCAAATGCGACTTGTATGGGGAACATGATTAAATGAATCGAGTATTGCATTAAATGCCCAAAAACACTTGGCCAGGATCAGAAAATAGAAAAAGGATCAACGGCACCCATAGAGGTCAGTTTCTTGCACTGTAAAATAGTAGCTAGACAGCTTAGTCCAATACACTGTTGTCAGAGGATCCATTTAGTTGCAAGAAAATCACACCTCAATGGTGCGCCCAGCTCCTAGCTGTTTGGGCAACAGGGAAGCAAAAATAAGGGAATGACATTCATCTATCTTAAGAAAAAATAAACAAGACAAACAGGCAACATAGAGCAGACCAATAATAGATTCTCATACATGGAAAAAAAAAACATCAGGCAACATAGAGCAGACCAATAATAGATTCTCATACACGGAAAAAAAAAAAATTAATATGATAATACAATTAAAAAGCATTCAGTTTTTTGAAAAAAATATATAGAAAAAGTTCACTTACACAGTTCATTGATAACAAATAGTTTAGTTTTAGATGCACTCGTTTCATCTCCTCTAACAATAGAAAGACAAAACATAAACATGTACCTGAATCACAAAATTACGCCTCTCACAATCCAAAAACATATTGATGCTCCAATCAACTTTAGCCATTATTTTATCCCTCACAGTGGAGAAGCTTAACTGATCTCTGGCAGTAAACCGATCAACTTCATTGAACCACAGGCAGGTAAACAGATTTGTGATGGGAATATGTTCCCTTATGATAACACAACCTTCAGGAACATCTGCAAAAGGTCAGTAGTTGAACAGAAAACATTAGAAATACAAATCTTCAAGAACATAAAGCACACGCATACACACACGGGGGATTATACAAATACCACTGGTTATTGGAAGCTTAGCCTTGGAATATGGTGATAAACCCTCTTTTTTATAAAATTCAATCTGGTAATCAATGGATGAATTGTCAGACTTTCCTGCAGCTTTGTTAGCTTCAGCCTCTTCAAACACATCAAAGCGATGATAGTGTCTTGAGATTGCAAAACTGGCATTTTGCTGCCACAAGAATCTGTACCAAAGGATAGCTCAGGTATAATTAAAACATCTATAGATTATGCAATTATACTAAAATCAATCTACCTATTTTCCTGCTTCTAGAGGCCAGAACTGCAATATACGTGAAGATCTATGTGATAAATGCTTACACCAAAAAAAACTGCCTTAACATTGACTCAACCAAAAAACAAGAACACATTGCCAAAACATGAACCACTGTAAACCAACAGAAAGAAAACATTTCCTTGTGATTTGATCTATTTGATGAGATAAAAACACAGTAAGTATACTGTTATTGTTCATCTATATTTCAATCAAAGCATGTAAAAAGAAACTGTTTTGGCTGCTTGGAATCAGGTCGAATCCACAGCAAGATTTATCAGTAGGACTACCTTTCAATAGATTTGCCAGCTCAACAAAAATCAAATCTACTAGTAAATTACATGGATTTAAAAACAGCTTACAGTATTTATGGACAAGCTGGAGTTTGAAAAATGAGGATCTTTGTTAACATAGTAAAATAGGCTCTTCTTTTATTTGTATACCTTACATGGTAAAGCACAAAATAAAGTCTTTTCTTCACCTAAGTACAATTGTTAGCATTGCTAAGTCAGATGATTAAAAAAAATACCCATTTGTAATTATATATGTCATACATTTTGCAGAGTTAGAGAGAAACACATAAGTTGCCTAATGATGAGACAAGGAAACTTATGGTGGTTCAAAACTTTTGCAGTGATGCACATGTTGGAACCAGAACTTTGTACCATGACCCAGGGGTAACAGGAAGGAAAACAAAGAGTTTCCATACATCTCAATTCAAAGATACCAGAAAAATTATATATGAAAACAAAAAAGCTCTGAATTCACAAGCCATTTACATATCTGAATGACTTCCTTCAGTGACCACTTAATTTAAGCATAAGCAATATATACCTCTCAAGAACTTGATATGGATCCACAACAAGCTGGAGCTTTCCATCTATCCATATGGAATACCTAACATTAGGCAAGAGCCTGTGCAATAAAAGTTTTGGAACCTGTCCACAGACAGAACACAATAACGGAATCCATCATTCATTGCAGAAAATATTTTATGTTTTCAGCAAATCAAAAAGAAAATGACTTGAAGGGCAAGGTACCATAGAATATCAAAGCCCCCAACAAAAAAGAAAAGGAAAGAAAATGGAAAATCTATAAAATTAATTTATTTACAGAAATTTATTCAAGAAACTCAGCCATTAGGATTAGCACCAAGATTGAAATTTCTTGCACTCGCCAAGAGAAAAGCAGAAATTTGTTAAAAAAATTGATAGCTTCATAAATGAGTTAACAAGAAGCAGCGGAACAAGAGGAAGAAAAAAATTAAGGAGAGTGTGTGATGCAATCCAGCCAAGGTTTGAAGCCCAGGTAAATGAAAGACAAATTTGAAAGAAGCAGGCAAAACAACCAAACAAATGCAAACAAACCTCCACAGTCCAATCCTCATATTGCTATCTAGGGCGCTAGAATTCTTCAAATACATTTCTGTCTCTTTATCAACAAACATATAGAAAGGAACGTTTTTCCTAGCTGCTTCACTAATGTTCTGTGGCTGTTGTATTATGTCATAGTTCCCTGGGAAAGTGCAATGATGAGGAAAGTTGAAAATATGCAGAAAACAAGAAACCTTTGCAGAATGTCTAGTGCACAACAGTACCAAATATAGCTGACGCAACAATGACCTCATGGGAATCTTCCAGTTTCATCAGGTCAGCTTCATCAATATCAAATCCAGTCTGGAAACCAGGTCTATTTCCTTTAACAAATCTGATAGCAGAAAACAGACAGCAGAAACATTAGATGTGTTGATATGAAATAAATGGTTCATATTTGTTACAAGACATCATAGAATATAGGAGGACAGAGATTATGAGATTCATTCAAGACAATGTCTTCAATGCTTATGATTTTACAGAAATTGGTAAGTGAGAAGGACTCCTACCCACAGTGAACTGTCATTGATTCACGTACATCAAAAGAATCATTCCTCTGCTTTAGAGAAGGATATCCACCAAAGTCCGAACCTCCATGTGATTCAGTTTTTACTGGGTTTTCATCAACAACATATGTCAAGTTGTGCAGTACTGGTGATGCGGATGAGGAGCATGGCATGCTAGCTCTAGCTTGCTCAGCAGAAATGTAACATACTGGACACGCTGCATAAAAAACAAGCAACAACAAAATATATACCACAGCAACAGGAAATATATTAGATGTGAGCATTTTTCGATTCAACTAAAAGTACAGATTTCTGTATAATTTATAAGAGATATTGAGGGTTATTTTATATCAATTTGAAATTGAACATACTAGTATGTCCTCTTCAGCAAACAGCAAACAATAATGAGCAAGGTAACAACATTGACTGCAAAAACATGCCATTTTTTCCTGTTACAGAATGTGATGGGCACATTCTTGGTGCAAGAAAAATTATATACCAGAATTTAGTAAATTCAGGATCAAAGTCATTTTTTACTTCCAAATGCGTGCACAGATCAGAAGCAATTCAAATTTATGGTCCAGTTCAATATATCAATGACAGGATGATGGTGAAAACAAGAAAATAAAGAACACTTCAACAAAAGTAACTCAAAACCAGAAAATAAGAAGACTTCAACAAAAATAACTCAAAACCAGAAAATAAGAAGACTTCAACAAAAATAACTCAAAACCAGAAAATAAGGAGCACTTCAACCAAAATAACTCAAAACTTACGGCGTGGTCCAATCCGTCGTCCACCAGAAGGAGGGGGAGGAGGGAGAGAAAACTTGTCGCATGGATGGCCCAATGTACTATTAACTCTATAATGACAAACAGTGGAACGATGGCTTACCATAGCAATGTTGTCAAAATGTATACTACCCGTTGGTCTAACAGTTGGACTTGTGGTTTCTGGTGCACACAAAACATCAGTTATTGCCTCAACCAAATCTAAAAACAAATAGCAGTAAAAGCCCCAAAGTGTTTCAGGACTTTGACATCATTGCTCAAATGCAGAAAATAACTAAATAACAGAATCTTTCAGTCTGATCAATGTTTATAATCAATTGATTATCTCCTGTTTTTACATCAAGACGATGACTTTGTCTTTGTATGCTTTCCTCTCGAGATTGAAAATAAAGAGGGGAAAAAAAAAACAAGAAGAAGAAGAGATATTATTTGGCTGTCAGCTTTCCTATCAATGGTTTAGCATAGAATGAGAACTGATAGCAACAAGGTCATTACTCACTTAAGGTTGCACCTATATGGGAACAGAATTCGTGCAGTACCTCCTCTTTATTCTTGTTTCCTTTTTTTTTTTTTTCCCTTTCTTTTCTGCTTGGCACAGCTGCTCTCAAGCCATGAACAATGAATAAACATTCCAATTCAAACAACAGGAAGAATAAAAAGATGCTCATAAAGTTAAACATTCCAATTAAGAACTACTACAATTTATCTTTTCTAGTGAGTACAGTATAGACAACTGGAACTAATAAATAGGTGCCTAATTACTCCGTCATTCCGTTGTAATTATAAATATTTCATCCTCTTGTGATTAACTTATTAGAATCAGTACCAAAACATACTTACAGCTTGAACAAACAATTACCTAAATCACTAAAACATTTTACTATATAGGAAAAAGAGACATGTTTGGAACCATACCTTTGGTGACTGTAAAGGAACCCCAGATGAAAACTAGGAGAGCAAGTGAAACCAAGAGCAACATTGCAAATCTTCTACGTCCCAAACACCGGGTAATACCCAGGAGAACCCGTTCCTTCTCCCTTGAACTAACTGGCAGCATTTTCGAAGATGGTTTTCGTGCATTATTTGATGATTTTCCATCACACAGCAACGATCCATAGCTCCCCCTTTGACCTAATGACCCTCCATTCATTGTACCTCTAGACCCACAATAATCCCACTTTTCATGTCTCCTTTTCTCCTACAAAACTCATTCTCTCTCAGTAACCAATACCGACTACTCCTGATTTGTAATACCCAAAACTCCACTTCTCGTCTATTTCCTCTTATCTTTTATGCAAAGACACATCAAAAACCCCACACACGCACACAAAGAAAAACAAACAAACACTTTGTTTCCTCAAAATCAGGGTCTAAAACTTAACGCACCAAGCTAAAGCTAAAAACAAAACCCAGTTTTAAAAATTTTAAAGAAAATATCAAATACCCCGAAATCGCATATGCAATGATAACCTGTTAATTGACCTTTTTTCCTAGGGATAAAAGGGAATTCTATTCTTCCAATCAATGGAATTGCATGAGAAACTGATTCACAATAGTATTCTGATACCAAACTAAAGAAAACAAACCTCAACCTCAACCTTAACAAAAAGGGCAACCTACATTAGCCAACAAATAACGACAACAAGAGAAGCAAAAAAAAAATGAAAAAGAAAAGGGAGAGACTTTAAACACCCCGAGAAGAGAGTTTTAGAGATGAGTTTGCCTCCGAAAATTAGATTTGAACCTCAAATTAAATTCCTTTTGAGCTTATCTTAATTGGGTTTTTGTTGATGATCTTTCTGTTTTTCCAGGTGCGTCTGTGCGCGCATCTTCTTCTTGTTTAGTTGCGGTTGGAGATGTTTTCAGACCGATGATAATTTTAAAAATTATTTGTTTCTTTTTCTTTGTTTAAATTTGATTTTCATATTAGATTATTGTAAAATTTTGGTTTAAAAAAAAAATTTATAATTTTTTAAAAATTTATTACCATGCTAAAAAAATACTTAGTTGATTTGATATTTGTTTCTCTACATAAGTTATTCATTAAAGTGTCAATATAAAAAAATACTTAAAAAAATTAAAAAATCCATTAATATTGAATAGTAAAATAAAAATAAAAAAGATATTCCCTTCAAATAAAAAAAATTAGAAAAGCATAGTAATACTGAATAGAAAAATAAAAATAAAAAAATAAAAATAAAATTATTGAAGAAAAATATTTATTTTTCTAAAAACAAATTTATTCATCTGTCTTTTTTAGTTAAAGAACTCGTTTTCGAGTGCAGACCTCGATCAATAGCTACTATCCATAAATATTCTTTGTGTGTGGGTCATTCTTCAAAATCCCTAATATTTTTTATGCAAGGTATTCTATCATACATCTTCAATACAATATTTTTGTATAAGTTATCTCATCATGAATTTTATCACTGAGTTTTTTAATAACAATAACTAATGCAAATAAAAATAACATACTTGTTCTTAGACATCTTTTTCATGAAAAGAAACCTCTCATCTTCTTTTACACAAGTACACTTTGTTGCATATCCCTTTTCAGTCATAATTATTCAACAACATATAATAACTAAGCATCAATAATTATTAATCTATAATACATGTCATATATCACCTCTAATCAAAACCATCAAGAATTGTTAGGTTCTGATATCAACTAAAGTTTATGAAAATGAAGGATAATGAGGTTTGTTACATGTCAAAACTTTTAAAGATTAAAAACATTATAATTATAGAAAGACATCTAAAATATTTAATTTTTATTAATCTAATTCTCCCTTGCCAAAAGCTATTACAATCCTTTATATAGAAAAACTAAAAAAAAAAACTCTATTATAACTTAATAGGAAAATAAAAATAAAAAAGTTCTTCACTGGAAATATAAAAACTAGAAAAGCCTAATAATACTAAATAAGAAAGTAAAAATATGAAAAAATAAAATTAACTAAGAAAAATATTTATTTTCCTAAAAAAATTTTACTCATCTCTTATTACCACCGAATAAGCATCACTGCTATTATCCATATTTTCAGACCACTAACTTTTTATCTTTAATTTAGTCTTTTTTATATTTACCCAATAAAACAACCTTGTTTGATGTCGATCAACCTTTAGAATACACTTCATAGAGTACTACACCATCATTAACAACCAACCATGCTGAACAAAAACACCACCACTAGGCCAAACCAACCTTGCTCCTTAAGTTAACTTTGACCTAGTAAACCTAATAGGTTTTCCAACACTCTAACCTATTTATTTTTTATTGGTTCAATAAATCCATAGCTATAAAAAAACACTATCAACTTAGACCTCTTTCACTCAAAATCAACAATAAATTTCAACCCTAAACCATAAGAATCGACCAATAAAACAACTCATAATCTTATCAATCAATACACACTAAAACTTAACCTTCAAAGCATATTTTTTCTATGTTTTTTTTTATATATAGGTTTGATATCAGCGAGTGAAGTTCATGCCCTACCACTCCATAACTCGTTTATACATGTTAATGCGTGGAGTACACACGCTACCATTACCCAGTTCAATTATAGCAGCTTCAAAGACAATTTTAGTAGCTTCTAAATGTTAATTTTAAACCCTAAATACATCGATTTATTTTGTTTTAGGTAATTTGCAATGTGTTGTTAGTGTTTTTATAAGTGAATGCTATATTTTGTTATTGTGTAACTTGTGTTGAATAATGAAGTTTAATGAATCTTTTTTTATATGATTGTTTTGATATATCTCAATTATTGTTTACCAAAGAACTAACCCAAAGGAAATAAGATCATTAAGAGGATATCGTCCATCACATGTTAAGACTTTATTATTTTATGTAAAAAATAATATATATTTTTTTGTTTTTTTACCAAATAACCTACTCATAGATGATAAGATCCTTGTAAAGGTCATATCCTCTAAAAGTTGAATCTTTATTATTGGTTTTTTTATAAAAAAAATTATATAAATTGTATAAATATTCATTTTACAATAGATGCTTGTAAGTATTACTTGGCTATTGTTTATTTTTTTTAATTTGTGAATATTTAGGTCTTGTGATATACCCCCCCGTTGTTATAAGTGAACTAATAAGGTTAGGTTAACGTGACCCTATAAAAGCATATTGAATGAGAGTAACAATCTTTGAGCCCATTAATAATAATAATAATAATAAAGAAAAAGAAGAAGAAGAAGAAGAAGATGAGAACTTTGAGAAGAAATATTAATGTAACGATTAA